TGTGTGTGTGGGTCTGTGTGTGTGTGTTTGTGTTCAATGTTTGATCCTGTCGAGGTTCACCCACGGGAACCGTGTGGCATACCCCCGTATGAGAGCGGTTTATTATTTCCCACATAACTTCTCACCTAACATATCAAATTATCATCCTAAAAAAATAAACTAATACATATAATATTAGACACTTAGAGTGACTAGGCTTATGCTTTTACAATGTTCTCAATTCACGAGAATGCGCTATCAAATCTGTTCTGGCAGCATTAATATTTCCTGTTGTATAAACAGAAAAATAGATATTAGACAAATGAATTTAAAAAATGAATAGATAAACTGATAGATAGATAGATAGATAGATAGATAGATAGATAGATAGATAGATAGATAGATAGATAGATAGGCAAATAGATAAATAGATAGATAGATAGATAAATAAATAAATAAACAACGCCAAGAAAGAGAAGTTATGCCATTAAAAAAAAAACCCAGCACAAATGTCCCCTTCTCACTCAGTACAAAGGATTTATTCGGAAATCAGACTTACGTCCCTTTATTGCAGTGGAGAGGAGCTTACCATAACAGTAACTGTATGGATATGGACAATCTCGTCACAAATGTTTAGATGATTTTAACGAGGTCATGCGGGTCACTGACATAATAATGAGCGAGGTCAGCAGAAATTGACACCGTCACTCCGTTGTATAATAATATGTGGCGTCGGTGGCCTAGTGGTTAAGCTACCGGACTCGTAATCGTGAGGTTGCGGGGTCGGGTGTTCGAGCCGCGGGCCAGACGTTTTGTTCTTGGGAATGGCACTTTACACGAATTTTCCTCATTTCAACCAGGTGGAAATGGGCACCCGGCCATAGACAGCGAAAGATCTTGTCAGTATATTCGTGTTTTAACGCCTATAAATGGCTGATTGCACTGTATGCTTCCCAGAAAGTTAAGCTTGTTTCAGAATGCTCTCAGGTCTGCTGGGGTATTAGTGTAGACTGTGAAGCGCAAGGAGCTTGCTGATGAGCGGGGTTTTGTGTTATACAAATGCTATCTATCTCTTTATTATTATTTTTTTTTTTTTTTTT